AGCTGCCCAACCAGAGCTAACGCGTTTTCTGCTGAATGTTTTGCCTGAAGCGACGTTTCCCTGTTCAGCCTCGTTTTCTGCCTCTCGTTTCTCCACAGCTGTAGACGATGCAGACTCGGGATTATAATAATAATTTGACTTAAACGAGTTAATCCTGACTCATTATTTAAATAGATTTTAAAACTTCATCACAACTAGTCAGTTTTTCTAAACATCCGTCTGGATCCGCGTTTCTGCCAACATCAACAAGTTCTGCTTCTACGCAATCTGACTGGACGCTGGAAAACACTGTTATTGTGCTAACAGGAGTTAGCCTATCAGCGGTGTTATGCTAGCAGTGCTAACAAGTAGCAGCTAGTGCTAATGTCAGCGTCCGCAGTCCAGACCTGTAAATAGGCTCAGTGAATGATCCGATAAATCGTTATCGCAGTAGAGGATAATATTGATGATTTGGTTCCATTTTCCAGAAATATAATGGTGATTCTCAAACTTTAAATTCAAATAAACGTTTAACTGTGGAACGGGAAGCCGCTTTAAACACCCAAAACACCCAAAGCAAGAAATAAAATGAATTATGAAGATTCTGCAAACAAAACTGTCCTTCTAAAAAAAGAGAAGTTTAGTTGAGACTGAAGACTTTTGTCAGTCTGGCATGAAGAGAAAAATGATAAATCATCCAAATGGAAATGTGGCATTATTGATTGATTGATTGATCTGACTCGCCTCATCAGGTCTGCCTGAACCCTGGAAAGCTGAATGACCAGAATAATATTTTACTCCAACCTGATGAACTGATTAAAAACTGAAATATATTTGTTGTTTAATTCGTCTAATTATTCAATAATTTGAATTGAAAATGTTGCTTTTTTTGTCAATACGCCGTTTTAAATCAATTGTGTTTAAATCCTGACTCTAAAATTAACTTTATGAAACATTTTAATCGTCTCTCCTCTAATTAATTAAAAGCTTTGGTGCTTTTAGCATCATTCGTCACCAGTTTAGTTTCCAGTTTATTCCAGTTACTGGTTGAAACCAGCTGACTGGGCAGGAAAAGGTTAAAAATTAGCTCTGATCTGATTGGTCGTAATGTGGCCACAGTCGGCTCTTCTTCCTCATGACTGTTGGACTGACTCCATGAACAAAGCCCGAACTGTTCACCGACCTGGTGACTCATGGTGATGTCACAGCCCAGCTGGGCTCTGACTGGACGGCGTTTAGAGGAAACCAGAACAACAGGCTGATTTCTGTCTGATTCTGGGGACGGGTCTGAATGAGGAACCCGTTTCCCCCGGCAACGGGCCCTTTAACAAGGAAACACCTTTTGACCTGCCAAAATAAAAGCCCTCCTGGAGCAAACAGACAGATTTCTAAACCTCAGAACTGATCAGCTGCATGAAACCTTCACGTTGGATGAAACGTCTGCAGTTCTAAAAACAATATGAATGAATTACTGAGAACCTGAAAATTCCTCCAACTCAGTGAAACGTCCGAGTGACGAGCCGTTCTGATTCTGGAGATCATTCAGAGAAAACCTGAAAGAAACTGCATGATCTGAACATCTAGGATCACAAGGTTATGGAAACGCCAGAAAAACTGCAGCTGCTGCAGCTTCGGCTGCTGCTGCAGCTTTTTGGTGTGAGTTTATTAAAAACCAGATGCTTTCACGTTGGGATGCAGCGGTACCGGTCCGATCTCTGTCAGGGTTTTACACAGCGGTACCGGTCCGATGGCGGTCCTGTCTGCACGTTTGCAGTTAATAGTCTCCTCACTGTTGGCAACTCAGCAACTTTCTTGCTTTATTCAGCAACATTTTATACAAAAATGTCGGTTTTGGCCAAAATTGGAATCTACAGTCTGAGATTCTTAATAAAATCTGCGATCGGCCAGAAAACTGCAATCGGTGCAGCTCTGGTTATTTCCTGTATTTAGCAGTCGATCATGCAGCGGTTTGTGGTTGTTACGCCCCCAAGGTCTAGGGGTCCAGGGGCAGTAACATAAAATGTGTCCGGAGCGACAGTGTAAAGTAAAAATGATTTATTACAAAATAAAGTTTCACAAAACAATACAATTTAACCCAATTAATGCAAAAAGAAAGAGGGATTAACAAACTCAATGTCAGGAGCAAATTAAAGTTACAAAAAAAAAATCCAAACAAGTCAGTTTAAAGTAACTCAAAACAAACCACAAAAAAAAAAACACATACAAAGGAGAGGCTGCGGGAAGCACGCAGCCTCCCAAACACAGGCTTCTAACTCATATTTAACTGGAGCAAAGTCAAAGTAACTAAACTGAACAAACAGGAACAAACAAAGACCAAGCTAGCTTAAAGTAGTTGCAACCACCAAAAAAAAAGAGAGGAGGCAGCTTCACAGAACCTCTTCAAATTAGCTGCCCCCCTAGAGGAATGAATTCAGGAGCCTTTTATGGTGCAGGTGAGCCTCATCAACGTCTGATTGGCTTGACCATCCTCTGCTGGTCCAATGGTGCAGCTGCTCTTCTACAGCCTCCAGGCAGCCAATCAGGAAGGTGTGCTCTCACAGTTGAACCTGCATAATAAAAGGGAGCCTGCACAGCCTCAAGAGGCCAGGGGCCGTAACAGTGGGTAAGGATCTGGCTTTCTCTCTGCGGTGCGTCTGAACATGTCTGCCTGATGCTGCATGTCTTAGTTTTTCTGCTGCCTGGTGTGAACTTTCCCACAGTTCCTGCTGGGCTTGCTGCACTCTGCTGCAGGCCAGACGTTTTCCTCCCGTCGAGTTTTCCTAATATGGAAGCAGCAGCGCAGGCTGGAGATGCGTCTCTGTGGAATCCTGCTGCTGTGATAATTCATCTCCAACCGAGTCGGTAGTTTGTTTTTAACACATTAATTTCTTTCTGAGTGCATTAATATTCCAGATGACATGAAATATCTGTTAAATAAATGTTTTTACCATTTTGGACACTTTGAATAAATAATAAATGTAAGTTGACAGTTCTGTCTGGAATAATCAGGAAAAGATGAACAACAGAAACCAGATGGGAAATGAAGGGCAGCTGACTTCCTGTCTGCGTCAGTTTGGGTTTTCAGTTCTGATCTGGTCCACATGCCAGACCTACAGGGGGCAGTGTAGCGCTAAGCTAAACCCTGTCAGCCAATCACATTGCTTCAAAAACAATCAGCACTTCCTGTTGGCAATCAAACATGGCGCCATGAGGTTCATTTATAGGTTAAACTGCTTTAAATCATGTCAAAGCAAATCTGTAAATTTATTGGCGGTTTATTCGTCGCAGACTGAAATTTGAGGAGCTTGAATCTCCATATTTGCAAACACAAATATGAATTTTCTCAAATCTCCAGTTTGGTCTGAATTTAAAGAAAAAATAATTTTAGTGAGTTTTAGTGTGGATGAAAAGCCAAAGCACCAAAATAAAAATTTTCCCAGATGTGGGCTGACTGGTATCTGACGCCATGTCAGCTTCATCATCAGGTAGTCTGAGTGAGGAGAACCTTCTGGGTCATGTGGTTCTGATCCAGTCCAGGCTCGTTGTTCCTCATCAGCATTCCTGAGCCAGCGGAGGACAAACTGGGAGTCAGGAGGATCCAGCAGGAGGGGGGGGACGGTGAACTGGGACTGTTTACAGAGAGGCGGCCAATCAGGAGCCGGGAGACGGCGCGCCGTCCAATCAGGAGCCAATAAGATGCAGAGAAAGCCAAGAGGTTCCGTCTCCACTTCGACTAATTGGATTTCTTGGAGGTTTTTTCCCACAGGGAGTCGGGACAGATTAAAAGGCTTCTGCAGGGGTCAGAGGTCGGGAGACAATGGGCCCCATTGGATTGAATCACAGCAGAGATTTGGACCGGCTTAAAGGAACAAACACACCATTTACTGGGGAAGGTTCAGCTGGAGGGAAGACTCACCCAGTTCATCAGTTCTGGTTCTGATCCTGGTCCTGGATCTGGTTCTGGTTGTGATTGTGGATCTGGTTCTGGTTCTGGTCTTAGTTTGGGTTCTGATCCTGGTCCTGGTCTTGGTTCTGGTTCTGGTTCTGGTACTGGTCCTGGTTCTGGTCCTGGTCTTAGTTCTGGTTCTGGTACTGGTCCTGGTTCTGGTCCTGGTCTTAGTTCGGGTTCTGATCTTGGTTCTGGTCCTGGTCCTGGTTTGTTCCTGGTCTTGGTCCTGATCCTGGTTCTGGTGGTTCTTGTGGACTCAGCAACTCAGCGGTTGGTCCAACTGGTCGCTGTTAAATCCCACCTCTGTGCGGTCAGTGAACGCCCCGCGCTGAAGAGCAGCTCTGTTTGAACGACGAGTTAAAAACTCCTGACAGGACTAAGCCCCGCCCCTGACGGGGCTTAGTCCCTCCCCCTGACAAATGTAGAATGAAATATCCCAAAAGTGGGCGGAGCCAAGATACACGTGGGGGCGTGGCCAATGCTTAGGATGAGGAGAGGGTGGGACTCATTTCCCCAAACGTTTCCTCTTTCTGCAGACGCCGAGTCTCGGAGCGAACGGTTCTGCCTCAGCCGGCCCTGCTGCTCAGTTTGGGTTTTAGTTCCTGTTTGGGCTAAGAAGAGTTTTTGAATGGAATTATTAATGCTAGGTGTGCTAACATGCTACCAGTGGCTCCTCTCCCACCCGGTGTGACGTCTCCTCTGGTTATTCTGATTTATCATCAGGGTCAGTTTAGCTGAATCAGCTCCTCAGAGGTCAGCCTGGCTTCTCAGCTTCCTGTGTCATTCTTTGTCTCCGTTTCCAGTGAACTGTTTGTGAGTCCAGCTGCAGCAGGTGAACCGGACCGGGTCAGGAGTTCAGCTGGTCCGCTCTGTTTACCTTCTTCCTGTCCAGGAGGGCGGCGCCCTGAAGCCCCGCCCCCTGCAGTCTGTCTGCAGAGCGTCAGGCTCTGCTGCTGACGAGGAAACTCGCTCTGCTATAAATACCTGAACCGCAGCTGCAGCAGACAGTTCTGTTCTGGGTCCGGTCCTGCGAAGTTCTGGTTCTGGTTCTGGTCCAATATGGGAGACTTCTGGGCAGACGTGGCCTCTCAGCGCGTGGCCAGAGGACTCTCGGTACGTATCTGTGCTGCGTCTCCAGTTTCATGTTGCAGCATTTGAGGAAATGAGAGCAGAGAGGAGCAAACATCCTGCTGAGCGTAGAGACGAAACGTCTAGATCTGCCAGAACCGCTGAGCGTCCTGCGAGTCGGAGCAGAACGTCAGCTGCTGCTGCTGGACCTGCTCAGAAAGCAGAAGAACAGAGGAGCTGGAGCTGCCCTCCAGCTCTGCTCTAAACATCAGCAGGGGAGGTCTGAGGTCAGAGGTCACAGGTCAGGCTTGCAGACAACCACGGTTCCTCCAGGCTGGATCATATCTTGGATCAAACCGACCAGAACCGGTTCTGGTTCCGATGCGGTTGTTTGTCGGTTCCAGGGAGAAACTGAAGAACAGATCAGTAAAACAAAAACGTTGAGAACGAAGGAGGCGACCAAAGCTTTGAATCTAAAATGAACTTTAAAGTGATGAAGCGACGCGGCGCCGATGTTGGGGGAAGATTTTAAAAGTTTATTATGGAGAATAAAATAAAAAATGAAATGAACCCGGTTTGTGCAGCCAGAACCAGGAAGCTGGAGTCCAACAGACATGGAGATGGAAACAGAACCTGAGCAGAATCAGAACCTCCTGGGTCTGTGTGGCTGCTCTGACCCAGAATCTGACCCGGTACCGTTCGGTTCTGTTGGGTTTGTTTCAGTCAGATTCAGGTTTATGGTGAACCCTCAGAGGTGCGTCATGTTCTGGTTGTATGGTTCGGATCAGAACCATGTAGGAGCAGCTAATCTGCTGGATGTGGTTCTGGTTCTGATCCAGAACTGGAATCTGTTCTGCTTTTCACTGTCAGGTTGTATCTAATTTTATTTGATCACATTTTATTCTCATCAAAGCGCCCTGGTTCTACTGGTTTTACTGGCTGAATTATTTACTTTTATTTTTATCTTTTGTTTTTTATTCATTTATTTAGTTTAAATTTAAATTTGTCAGTTTAAAAATGAAACAAACTCCAGATGTCTGATCCCAGCATTTTGATTGGCTGCCGAGTCCCTTGAGCCCGCCCCCTTCCTGCGGCTCAGCAGCGAACAGAGGGCTGTGATTGGTCCAGCTTTCAGAGCTAAAGAACTGGAGGTTATGAGGCTGCAGCTCCAGTTGGACTGCTGGATAAGCCCACAGCATGATGCTGCCTCCACCGTGTTTACACATGGATGTTGGGATGCATTCCCATTAACTCCACTCTGTTTTCCCCATTTGGTTTAGTTTGTCTCAGTGAGTCGGAGAGAAAAGGCTGAAGGCAAAAGGAGACGGCGTTGATTCTCCAGTGGAAAATGTTTCATCGTCTTTGTTTCTCTGCAGGGAAACGATGAGGAGGCTGTTCTGGACCAGGGCAAGACCAGCACCACCCTGCACACAAACTTTGAGAAAGAGGAACTGGAGAGTGAGTGATGCGCGCGCACACACACACACACACACACACACACACACCACACACACACACATGTTTGTGTTGCTATCTTTGTGGGGACTTTCCATTGACTTCCATTCATTTCTACAGCCTAAACCTGACCTTTACCCTTTTCCTAACCCTAACCAACCAAAACTCAATTCATACCTTAGCCCTAACTCTGACCCCTGACTCAAAAACAGGGTTTCCCCTTGTGGGGACCAGGCTCCGGTCCCCACAAGGAGCAATTGGTCCCCACGACGTGGTATATGTCAGGAAAATCATCCCCACAAGGTATTACACACACACACACACACACACACACCCCAGCAGCCCTTATTTGCACCCAAAACAGAAAGTAGCGAATCGTTCCGCCCGTATTTCCACTGTCTGGGTTTAAACAAAACGTTTCTGTTTGGGTTGTTACATTAAACATAAAAAACTTTTAACTCTTTTATTTTTTCTTCTGGAAACTTTGATTTAATTTACTTTAATCAGGAACCTCACTGTTTCCTGGAGCTTCATTTTCTGCTCCACTTTCACTAAAAGTCCGTTTCATGGTTTATTTTATTATTTAAAGTCATAAAGGATCTCATTTTCTCCAAGTTTATTTCTTTCTAACTGTAATAAAAAATGCAAAACTTGTACAAACTAGGTGGAAAATTTATTAAAATGCTAACAAAAAAAGGAGAATACTTCAAAACAAGATGCAAAACTATTTATTATGTTGAAGAATGGCTGAAAATGCATCTATGTATTTTATTTCCTGTAAATGTAAATATTTATGATGGAACTGAAGTTTGTGCCTCAGTCTTTGCCAATAAATTTATTCTGATCGAAAATTACGATTAGAAAGAAAAGGCATCAAACAGAATTAAACATCAGAGTCATAAAGCAGATGGGAGTTTATTCCATAAAAAAAATAAAATTTCACCCAAATGTGTCGGGACTTGATCCTGTTGGACCGGATCAGAACTCTGGTTCTGCTGGGTTTCATGTTAGTATTTGTGGATATTTGTTGTTCCTGTGAACATGTGTGTGTGTGTGTGTGTGTGTGTGTGTGTGTGTGTGTTCTCCTGCCAGGCCACAGAGCCGTGTACGTCGGCGTTCACGTCCCACTGGGCCGGCAGAGCCGCAGGCGGCACCGGCACCGCGGACACCGCCATCACCGCAGGCGGCGGGACCGGGATGACCACGAGGACGGCCGGGAGTCTCCGTCGTACGGTCGGTACCGATCCGATTCCTGTGTCAAGACACATCTGATGAGGATGATGAAGAGTCTGACTTCCTGCCGCAGACACGCCGTCCCAGAGGGTCCAGTTCCTCCTCGGCACCGAAGACGATGATGAGGAACACATCCCCCACGACCTGTTCACCGAACTGGATGAGCTCGCCTTCAGGGACGGAGAGGTCCAGGTGTGGAAGGAGACGGCCAGGTGAGCCGGGTTCTGAGTGGTTCTGATCCGGTAAATCGGTCCAATCAGACCGAGCAGAGCATTCAGAGAACTCTGCTGTAGATTGATGATGATGTTTGGGTGGAGCAGGAAGGAGGGCAGGGAGTCGGCGGTGAGGTGTGCGGCAGCTGGGATCTGGATCAGCTCCTGAAGCTGACCGGGTCACATGACGTTCTGGAGAGAAGAAGAATGAAAGAGGGCGGGGCTTCTGCTGGTTCTGGTTCAGACTTACAGAAACGTTACAGACTGCCGCAGCTCTAAAATCAGCAGCAAAACCAGATTTTATTAAAAAGCTGGTTTAAATGACAACTTAAAATGACAAAATCAGACGCTGACGTCATTAAAACCAGATTCTGAACCTGTTACAATGAGAGGCAAAAGTCATGGAAACAGGAGTTTCTGGTTCAGACAGACGCTGAACTTGTTCAGATTACTTCCTCGTTAAGCGAGATCGAAGACGAGATGGAAATCTCATGCTTGCTTCTCATCATGACGAGCTGCTGCTCCTGAATTTATTTCCCAGCTGTGGCGGTTAAAGTCTTCTGGATTCTGGGTTTAGTCTCGCTTCAGGCCACCGGGTCACATGACCATCAGATTGACGAGGCGTTGGACGGGCGAACCAAACAGAACCTGGAGAACGGATCGGGTTCCCCTACCAGCCAGGCTGAGGAGGAGCAGACAGGAAGTTGGTGATGATGTCATGTTTGTGTCCAGGTGGCTGAAGTTCGAGGAAGACGTGGAGGACGGCGGCGAGCGCTGGAGCAAGCCGTACGTCGCCACGCTGTCGCTGCACAGCCTGTTTGAGCTTCGCTCCTGCATAATGAACGGCACCGTGCTGCTGGACATGAGGGCCGGCTGCATCGACGAGATCGCAGGTCAGACGCTAACCACATGCTAACCTGATGACAGGCTGGGGACACACCAACAACATGCTAACAGCGCGGTAACGACATGCCAATGATGCGCTAAAGACATGCTAATGACATGCTAACAAGGCGCTGATGATGTGCTAACCACCCACTAAATACATAATGACATGCTTATGATGTGCTAACAACATGCTAAAAACGTGTTGACAACGTTCTGACGATGTGCTAATGACATGCTAATGACATGCTAACGCCCTGCGGCGACCCCCTCCCAGACATGGTGATCGACAGCATGCTGGCGACCGGCCAGCTGGAGGCGGAGCAGCAGGACAAGGTGAGGGAGGCTCTGCTGAAACGCCACCATCACCAGAACGAGAAGAAGCTGAGCAACCGCATCCCGCTGGTCCGCTCCTTCGCAGACATAGGCAAGAAGCATTCGGACTCGACGCTGCTGGAGCGCAACGGTGAGGCTGCGGCGCTGCTGCCATCCCTGAACGTCAGCTCAAACCTGGCAGTTCCACCTACAGAACCCAGTCGGGTTTAGAACCTCCCTCCGGTTCTGGTCCCGTTTAAGACCATGCACTCCACCGTCTGTATTTATCCATTAGGCCTGTTGCAATAAATCAATTAATGGGATTATAAATGAAAACATTTTCTTGATTTAGCTGGATAATAGAAGTCGCTCATCTTCTATGGGGTTTTGGCCTCAACTAAACCTTTTTTGGTAGGACAGTTTTTAACTTCATAATCCATTTAATTTGTTTGTTTAATCATTTGTTATATTTAAAAAGTTTTCCCATGTTAAATGTTCATTTGAATTTAAAGTTTTAGAGAGTGTTCTTGCATTTTAATGCTATTACAATCATATTATTTGAAAATGGTCTCAATATTATCGTTTATCGCGATAACTTCTGGGGCAGTTTATCGTCCAGCAGCATCTGTTATGGTGACAGGCCAAACCGTTTAGTTTCCTCTGGTTCCGACCCAAACCTGACGTTCTGTTTTCTCCCTGAGATCTGAGTCGCCGGGCAGAGTTTGGTTCAGTCTGCGATCTGATTGGTGCGTCGGGCCTCTGGTGTGACGTGTTGCATGAACATGCGTGTTGGTCTCTGATTCACTAACTGAGTGTTTAATGATCAGCAGAAGCTGCTTTCTGATTGGTTGGCACTAACCAGCGTGCTGATTGGACGGTTAACAACCAGCTGCTGACAGAGCAGAGCCGCCATGTTGGAGCTTCAGGGGTTTGGACTCGATCAGAACCTCGATCTTTACACGCAAACATTAAAATAATTTTTCTGTTTATATGAACATTGTTGGCATTAAACGGTTTTTATTTCATTTATAAATATAATTAAAAGCAAAAGTTGTCAGTTTTTTGTGGCGCTGCTTTAGCAATATTAGTTACAAGTTTTTGTGACTATAAGGTTCAGGCTAAAAAAAATGTCTTTCTTTCATCTCAAGAATAAAGTTATGTGAGAAGTCGTAATATGAGAATAACTAATATTACAGCAATATCACCATAATGAAGCTACTATAATATGAGAATAACGTCGTTTATGAGAGCAATTGTAATAAGAGAATAGTCATGAAGTACAAGAAAGTTGCGATAATTTCGGGATAAAGTCGTAACTCCTGATTATGCCAACGTGTATTAATGCGTTTGCTGTTAATCTGGCCCGGCCTGCAGCTGGTTCCAGTTAATCTCTGATAATCCAATCAGACCTAGGATGGAAAATAATCTATTGCACCGAATCCAGATTAATTCTGAGGTGGGAACATTTCCGTTCTGACCGACGTTCAAACCCGCTGCTTTTATCCCAGTGATGGGAAGTGAGGCGGTTTCCATGGAAACCCAGAGCCTCCTGCTGGTTTCCATGTTAGCATGACTCTGTTGACGTCGGCGTCTCTTCCTGTCCCTCCTCTCTCCAGGGGAGGGGGTGTCCTCCTCTCGCCTCTCCCTCCTCCGCCGCTCCTCCCCCCTCCCCACAGGCGCCCTTCCTGTTTGGTCGCCTCCTCTCTGGCCCCGCCTCCTTGCCTCCCAACACGTCCGCACTGTGCCTCCAGGAGCGCCACCTGTCGGAGCCCTGCCCTCCCGGACTGGCCCCGCCCCTTCTGGACCCCACCCCCTCAGGAGGAGCGCCGCACCGCCACTCGGCGTCAGAGACGCTGGCAGGCGGATCCAGGTGGTGGTTTTCCCTCCGGAGGAGGAGCAGCACCTTCACATGAATGATGGCGCTCCTGAGAGCCAAACAGGCAATAAGAGGCATGAAGCTGCTGCTCCTAACACCAGGCCTGGGGTCAGAGGTCATCTGGGGACCAATGAACCTCCTTCACTGGTTGGGATCAGCTGAGGCCTGGACTATAAATCAATAACTGACACATGATCAGCATGAACCGATAATACATCTGATAGAACATTTATACAATATTCACTGAACTCCAGAACCGCACGGGATTCTGGGAGATGTAGGCAGGGCTCTTCTACTGTCAGACAAATTACACCTCAGAGCTGCAGCTGTCACAGAACCTGGTCCATTAATGAGTCGTTCAGTACCGACCAGAACCGGTCAGTTAACCAGTTGGAGCGCTGACTCGTCATCACTGAGGTCGCTCTGAAACAAACAGGAAGTAGTCAGAGCGTGACGGCCAGCAGAGTCAGCGGCTTCCTGGACCGGTTCCCCTCACTCAGCACAAACCTCGTTGGACCG